CTTTGTTCTTTCTTTCTAACCTCAGAAACTAGCTTCCTACTCAAAGGGAACGTGATTCTATTTGTCTCCTCTCGTCCTGTGACGTCTGTCCTGTGACAGTAGTGGAAATGAAAGTGTTTTCATTAATTCTGGGTTTATTATTTTTAGTTATTACGCATCGTAGTGTTTTTTTTTAAATTAACATTTAAAGAAAAATAAAACCTTAAAGCTATACTGGAGGATGCATCAGTACCCCTGGAACTTCTAATTCTTAGCTTTAATGACAAACAACACACACTAATGCAGTATAATATATGCATAGAATGATAGATATGCAAAAATAAATAAAATAAAAACTTCCAATCTTAACTAATCAAGCAAATAAATCTGGTTTCAATAGTTCAGCCATTTCTGTTTAACTCTTTTTTGTGTGTTTTAAGTGTGCCTGCTATAACTGTCTAACCTACATAGAACAGATTTATTATAGCAAAATGGAAATGACCAAATTAGCCTCTCTGAAGTGTTTGTCTCATAAGTTTTCTTGCTGTATTCATGATTATTCAAAGCAAACCCGGAGTTAGTGTCCTGTACAGTGACTATTATTCTAGCAGTTCTACATCCACTTTGGGAGTTTTTGTGCCTTCAGCATCCTGGTAGAAGAAAGAGCTCCAGCTTGCATACTGGACTTTTTTTTGAAGTCTTACTGTAGGTGAATCTCATGTAATATTAGGTTGGGTTTTTTTTTTCTTTTGTTGTTGTTTTTTCTGAGTTTGTGTGTTTTTGTGTTGTTAAATTTTGTACATAAATAAAATAAATACCCTGTGCAATGAATCGGGTCTGGTAAGTGCAGCGCATCTTAATTTTCCAGATGTGCGGACACACTTGTGTCACAGACAGGCTGTGGGAGGATCTCAAAACTCACCTCCTGCAGATGTTTATTTGCTCGGCTGAGCGCCTCTTCGTACCCGGACTGCCTCAGTTCGCTCAGGCTTTCGTAGTACTCATCCGGGTCGTCATTTTCCGTGAAGAGAACCTGGGAAAGTATCTTCCAACCGCAGGTGTCAAGCGCGTGACCCAAGTACACCTGTAAGTTGAAGCACAGCTCGTCCATTTCTGTTTCGGATACTTCCGCCGGGCCGAACAACACCGTCCACATCCCGGCCGGCTCCTCTGGAAACACCGGCAGGCATGGCTCCAGGACGGAGTTTATCGAGCACAGCTGCTGGTGGATTGCCCGAAGGTCCTGAAAGGAGAAGAGTCCGGCCCAGCTGCAGTCCTCCCTGCTCAGACTGTCCAGCTCCTCCAGGTCCAGGCAGTCCAGTGATAGAGACAGCTGGTCCTCTCTGAGTGATTGTAACGCGTCGGTGTCGGGGCTAACCCGAGAAGCAACGGGTTTAGTCGCAGTCTGAATTTTGACAGGAGTATGTTTTGACAGGGACTTGGTTTTAGGGCTGCATGCTTTAGCCTCACTGGCTCCTTTGCTAGACGCTATATCCCTGACGGGACTTTCGAGCCATTTTGTTTTGTCCCCCTCCAGACCAGTCACCTCCACAGGAGGGTCCCTACCAAAGCTTCTCCTCTGCACCGTCCTGTTATGACACGTAATGGCAAATTTGCCCTCCACCTCATTCCAAGCGACGATGAAAACAAATTTATGCTTCTCCTTCTCCTCAAACGCATTCGGGCGAACGGCTACCCACCCCGACTCCAAATTATCCTCCATTGTAAAGGACATCTCTGTCAAGTGATGAAACGGGAATATGCTGCGGTGGCACTGTCTGGGAGTGGGGCGTGAAACGGAGAGCCTCACAGCGCTGTAACGTCGTTTACCAAACCGTTTGCTCTCCGAGGAGATTTCGCCTGGGGGGCTATCCTCCTTCGCTCGAGTGGATGAATTTGAAGCAGTGCGGTTTCATGTCCCATCTCTGGCCCACCTGCTTTCAACTTGGACGTCTATCGCATCATCGAGCAGCCGTTACCTCTGCCATTAGCTTTCCCGGCCGTTAAAGACTCGGCTCTGACACATAACAGGCGCCCGAGTGTTTACCAGTCCAACGGTCGATCCGCCTGTCAGCTGGGTTCTGTTATTCTCTCGGCTCCAGAGCCCCTTTCTAATCATGAAGCACGACACCAAAGCAGACATCGTTCAGATACGCCACGCCGAGAGCACACATGAGCGTTACACGGGGCTCTCTCCGGTCTGTGTGAAAGGGTAGCATCGTCTCCAAACTCACATTACCATGTTGTCTTCAGTGTTCGCCCAGCAGGACCACAGACGCAAAATATGATGCCTTCAGGTGCACTGAGATTTATCGGAACTATATTGATAAACTCGGAGACACGGGGAAATAGGCAAAACTGAGTGCTGAAAGCTACACTGCGGTCTATTTATGAAACATTGGAGACTTTATGTAAATAGAAAGAGCGGTTTGCATTAACGTTTGTAATCCCATGGAAAGCTGCTTTAGCAGCAGTTACTTACCATGTTACTACTGACTGCTATACTAATGCAAGCCAGCTTTGAGGACACTGAGTCTGCATTGCTGTATCCCAAAAAGCACATGAACGCAACATTAGAGATTCCGCTTGAGTAGGGCACGTAACTGTGGTAGCTTAGAAAATAAAAACAATGCAGCTTTTTTCCGAAATGAATTAAATAATAGTTAGATGCACAGAATAATAACTTTTTAAAATATTTCACCAATTAAATTGACAGCTCATTTTCTGAAGTAACTGAATGACCCCATTTCTAGAAGGCCCCTGAAATCATCTAATATAAAACAGTTCATTCCCTCTTTCTCTTTAGAGGAAGGGCAGGAAGCCGAGTGAACCAACTTTATTTTCAGGTCACAGGGGATCAGTGGGATGACTCATACAGACAGCCATTCACACCTACAGCCAAGTCAGAGTAGCCACTTATTAGTTTAACCCGCTTGTCTTTGGACTGTGGGAGGATTTAGTTGCCATCATAATGATGATGTAGTCCAAAACCACTAACCTTGAAGTAATAAAGTAGTTGAAAAAAACTGAAGAAAAGAATGTGTTTCAGCTTACATAGTTAAGTTCAGAGGAGGGAACTGGTATTGAGTTACACAGCTCCTGTTGTTTACACGTTGGCTGGCCTGTTACAGAAGACAGGGATGGAAAATAGCATTCCCCATTAATGGTCACAGCCTTGAGATAGATAAAAGTGAGTCCCTCACCAGGGTCTGTTTCTCCTAATGATGCAAAGAAAAAAATCCTTAATGGGTTCCAACGAAGACTGCCTCCCACCACAACAACCTATAGAGCACTATGTTTGCATTATTAAACAGATCCCTGGGACCTCTGGGATCCTGTAGTTTTAAAGACGTTCATTTAAAAATACTGCAAAATGCTGAACATCTCCTGCGACTATCAGGAGCAAGTTGGGGTGATTTCGGATAGACGGCTGAACATTTCTGAAGAACCGCGTGTTCCTTTTTTTTTTTAATCTTCTTTTGGATTTCACTGGACTACCGCCTAACAAAACCTCCATATTAACAGCCCAGTTTATTTCCAAATACCTGAAATCACGCACTGGTACAGACACATATTCACACACAATGAAACACAGAGCCCGTTGATTTAGGGGACTCAGTTAAATGGGATTTACTCAATCAATTCAATGAAATTAATTGAAAAATAAAACCTTATTTTGGCTTTTGAGTAGAGTGCGCCAAAGGGGATTTTGCGCAAGTCCTGCGTGTGCATACCAGCTATGCGAACAAAGGGTTCCATGGTGTAATGGTTAGCACTCTGGACTTTGAATCCAGCGATCCGAGTTCAAATCTCGGTGGAACCTGTCGCTTTTCACTTTGAGATGGTATCAAATTGGCCTACTGTTGAGTACATCATCCATAATCAGTCGACGTAATCGGTATAAAAAGATTTAAGGTTTGTTATGGAAATGCTTATTTGGGCCCCTGCATGTGTTTAATCCTGCTTGATGTTAGATCAAATTGCGAAGTTTTTGTGGTGTCCTGCTTTGGGAGGCTATTACAATTTGCGACCTGATTCAACCTAAAGCGTTTACCTAATCAATCGAAGAAGTAAGAATGGCTTCAATAAATTAATCCAGTCAGAAGAATAAATGTCAGGCATAGTTTACATATAGAAAAAAAATGCATGTAAAATAGAGTTTCAGTTTTAACTGTGTCAGGTGTAGAGGTGTAAATTACACTGCTGCTTACACAAATCATAATCTTGCATCACAACTGAACCTCATCCTGGTTTGTTTTGTTTGATGGACCTTAGGAAGTCGAGGCGAGATCGTCAGTTCAGCGTGCAGGGGAAACACCTTGGGTCACAACTAAACTCGTGGTTCATTGTATGATTTATGGCACCGTGTCTAACACTTTTACTCTCAAGAGCAAATACTTAAAAATAGTAGAGAGAGAATGATGAGACAAAACTTTGCAAGTAAAGGAATAAAAGGCGTATTTCAATAAAATGTGTTTGTCTTGAATGAAGAATACTTTGTTTTTGTATATAAAAAAATGTACATTAGTTTCATACCACTCTTCAGCCACTAATATTTTTAAAAAGCAAGTATTTCATTTCATATACATGTGGGTTAACTATAGTAGCTATAGTAACTATGGTAAACGGTATAATAAAGAAAACAAACCTGTTGTATTTGTCCACATATGTGTTTTCCCTCTCGACCAGCAGGGGGCGCCGCATCTCTTGATGTGTGACAGGCAGAGCCTTTGAAAGTTGAAAGTTCAGTTGAGCGTTGGTTCTGGTCACAGGCAGACGTGTGACGTATGGTGACGTTCCGTTACGTGTTTCTTGGCGGGACGGCGTCGTTATAAAACTAAGTCGCGCGGCGTAAACAGTTTGATGTGTTACAGTTGTTGACATTTTGATAAGCAAAAAATTGTTAACTTTAACGGGCGAGTGTAACGACGACGCCAGGGACTAACCTCTGCTTCTTCGTCTTCTTTTTTTAATCTTGACATAAGACAGCGTTAACCTAACTCAATCGAGGTAAGACTTATTTGTAAACCGAAGTAGTTTTAACGCTAAGTTATAACCAGCTGAAAACACGTTAAATGACGTTATATGAAAATAATGCATGTGTTTACTCTCCTGTGTAGTGACTCGGGTGCTTGTTCTTAGTTTGAGGATTCACTTTATTTTTCTGTAACGGTACACTCACCGGGCACTTCATTGGGTAAACGTTGCTAGCACTAGGTTCGACCCCCAGAACTGCCTTCCTTATTCATGGTCTATGTTGGCACGATAGCATCACACAGTTGCTGCAGATTTGCAGCAGTTGCACATTCATAATGAGTATCTCCAAGTCCAGTTCATCCCAGATTTGGTGTATTAGATTGAGATCTGGCGCCTGAGGAAAGCGGACTCACTATCTTAGCCAAGAAGCCAGTTTGAGATAATGTGAGATTTGTGACATTGTGTAATGATACTGTTCTTAATAGCAGTCATAAGTTGGATTCAGTGTAGTTATAAAAGGATTGACTTGGTTAGGAACAATACTCAGGAACGCTGTGGTATTTAATTGATTTTCAGCTAAGAGACCCAAAGTGTACAAAGAATCTCTAACAGGCCATTACACCACAGACAACAGCCTGAACCATTGAAACAAGCCAGTATGGATGCTTTAATGTAATTTACACCAAATCATGACCTTACCATCTGAAATTTAGAACAGAAGTCAACATTCATTAGACCAGTAATTTTTTTTTTTTTTTTTGCCAATATTCTGTTGTCATGTGCTTGTGCAAACTGTAGCCTTAGTTTCCTGTTTTTAGTTGACAGGAGTGGCCCCCATTGTGGCCTTCTGCTGCTGTAGTAAATCTGTTTCATGTAGAGCATTCAGAGATGCTCTTCTGCATACCTTGGTTGTAACGAGTGATTATTACCTGGTCATTCTACCCTTCCTCTGACATTAACACTGTGTTTTACCCCAGAACACTGCCATTGACTGGACAGTTTCTGTTTCAGATCATTCTCTATAAACACTAGAGATGGTTGTGTGGGGAAATCCTAGTAGATCTCCAGTATCTAAACTACTCAGACCAGCCCATCTAACACCAACAATCGTGCCATGTTTAAAGTAATGTCAATCAGCTTTCTTCTTCATTCTGATTTTAAGTTTGAATTTCAGCAAGTCAGCTTGACCATCTCTGTATGCTTAAATGCATTGAGCTGAGAGTTTTTTCTCGTCCTGAGACTCACTGTTCAAAACATATTAGTTTTCTGAAGACATGACCTTTTCATACATTTACATCTTTTTTTAGTTCTTAATTTTTTAATGACTGGGCTATTACGTGTAAAAATGTAATAGCCAAACTTAATTCTTTAAAAAGAAAGATTAAACACATTGGGATGTTGTCACACACACAGTTATATGAGTGTAATGCACAGTGAAATGCTTATATATCAGGTCCTAGTGGAAGACATAAATAGAGAAGAATCACTGAACTCATTTAATGGTTGGTTAACATTATGAACTAGTAGTTCAGCTATAGGCCAATTATCCAGAAGTCGGTTAATATGTTGTGGGCAAGGGTGGGCTTTGTTTCTTTTAAAACGTTAAAATGAGCATTAAAGAGAGTGAAACCAACTCCCACTGTATGAGCCTTGCTGATGGTGCATGAGTAGAAGACGAAACCCGTCTTGATGTGGACGGTTCTCCTGCTTGTCTTCAGTTTTACCCTCCTGTCCGACAGGTGGCGGTACTGAACTTGTAGGCTGGTTTGCTAATCCCTGACAAAGAAAAACAATAACAATTTAACGCGGTGACAAAAGTGATTACCTATTGCGCATTTTCTTGCTAATTAACAACCGTATTTCACACAGATGAAAGCTTGTGAAGAGTTGTAACTCGCCGTTACACTGAGCGACTGACGTTAACTAGCAAGTGTAACGCCGAAGCTAACAGAGGTTCAGCAGACGGTGCTTATTTGATGTCATTTGGACTTGAAGCATCATCAATTCCGTTCAGAGAGGTAAAAAAATTTATTTTAAATAAACCGATATTAGTCTTAGCGATACGCTGACAGCTGCTGAAAAGGGCCGCTGTAACCGTATAAAGACGAGCATCAACTCTGATTAAGGCTGCTGTATGTGTGTGTACAGCGCAGAAGCAGAGCTGCACTGAAGTACAGTTTTCCGCTTCTACGACATCAGAAGCCTGCGCTTTACTTTGTGTGACTGTAAAACTGATGGGTGACAAATTACTGCGGGTGCTTTTACACAGGTGCTAAGCATAGCACCGTGAAGCGATTGAACTACCAGTGATGATGATTTTATATAAGATGACTGGAGCGGCAGGTTAAAGTGATTTGAGAAGTGGTTTCACTGTGTAGCAATGAACAGGTGGCAGGAGTCTCAGTCACAGAAGACTCTTTGCTCGTATCTTGGCTGCGTTTCCGTGCATTATCTGAAGATTGACACTTGCACAACAAAACTGCTTACTGTTTGCAAACCACTGAGCTCAGTGGTTACGGTGGAGGCGTACAGCAAGGAAACCAGACAATTCATTGGTGCAACCTGCAGAATCTGCCTGGATTTTCTTTTTCTACATAACGTTGTGCAGTTTTCTGGTCAACTGAAAAACCATCGGTCTGTCTGTCTGCCCGCTGGCCACCACTCACAACCACTTGATCACAAGGTGATTGCATTGGTCGTTTAATAGGAGGCAGTCTTCTGTATTCAGTCACAGTTTGCCAGTCAGAAATATACTTGTTATCAAATACTTGCTGTCTAATTTATAAATGCAGACAGATTGCCAACATGTCGCCATCAGTTTGAACAGGTCTTTGTTAATGAGGAGACTCGACTCAAATGGCTTCCAGCTGGTTGTATTCTGGTCATATTCCTATAGAGCAGAAAGGCTGCTGAGCACAAATTTAACAGTTAAGTGAATTTCTGTTGACGTCTACGAGGACACAAATTCACATTTGGTATTTTCAGACAGCTTATCACTGTTAACTGTTTTATCAGGAACAGATTGGATGTAATTAACAACAACTGTAATTAAAATTCAGTTGCATACAGTTGGCCTGTCTGTCTTATGGCAATACAGCTATGCCAGGTTTATTGACAGTGTTGGTGTGCTTATTGGATAAAACAGACAAAGTTTAACTTTGAGAACATAATTGGTTATTTTAAAAGTTATTGAAACTTAGTATATCATAAAATCTTAATGCATATCAAATTGTGATAATATTTTATTGTGGGGTATTTGCCGATCCCCACTTAAAATATGGTATTTTTATACAAGCTTGTTTCTGCCAAGTGGGACTATTAATAAGACACTAAGCCAAAATTTCTTATCACAATCTCAACATTTTGACTTACTAATTGAAATTTCAAATAATTTGTTCACATGTTTGAGTTGATAAGTTTGTATTTTGAAACAGCCTTCCTCAGCTTAGCTGCTGAAAACTTAAGTTTAACTCTGTCTTGCTCATGATTTCTGGCCATTTTTTTTTTTTTTGCACCAGCTGCATGTATGAATTATGAATGAGTGTAAGGCTGTATGATACGAGGCTGTATGATGTGTTTTGTATGTTGAGATGAGTATACTTGTTTCGGCCACTGAAACAAAAAACCCCAAAAAACTTGATGACTGGCAGACTTCAAGTTAAATGCCATTATTTTCTGTATATTGGTGCATATTAGTCAGTCTGAGTTTTAATGAGCTATAGTTTCTTATGTTGGATTAAACCCACATTTCTGTGGTTTGATTTGTCTCTCCAGGAATCTTCACTCAGTTTTTTTTTTTGTTTTTTTGTTTTTTTTTGGGTGATGGAGTCATCTGACAGCCAGGGGAATCTCAATCACATGGTGGGGACTATGGAGCCAAATGATGTTCCTGCTGCTGAAGGTGCCACCGGACAGAAAGACACGTCACCTGTAGACATGCTGAGGTTTGTATCTCTCACCCCAACATTGGTGTTGAAGGTCAGTTTTTGATCCAGCTGTGCCGCACACGTCACCTCTGGTCTTTACTTTCTTTACAGAATAAAGCAACAGATGTCCAACCAGTGCTTTGAGATGGCAGTACAGCTCAACGCAGGTATAAAACAATTTTCTTGATTAAATTTGTTTTTATTTTTTAAGAGCAAAAAGGGAAATTAATTTTAAGTTTCCCCTGATAGAAAAAAATAAAAGGTCATGCAGCACATCTGAAGCAGAGAGAGACTTGTGAGTATTTGATGTTTTAAAGCCAAATGTTAAATAAAAAAGGGGAAAAAAGATGTTGACACTTGTTCGTTTCAGGCCAGAATATATCGGTGAGCTTGAAAGGGTGAAGACGCTTCATTTTAACAGCACACTGACCCTGCACAGGTAAACTGCTGCTTGTATTATTTGTTTTTGGAGTTCAGATGTTCTCATATTTTTCGTGACAGATCATTGATTGTCTCTGTCTTTCAGAATGCAGATGTGGCACGCTATCGGAGAAAAGCTGAACTGGAGTGACTCTGAAGCAGAGTAAGTCAACTGACAACATGCAGAAACAGCTGAAATATTTAATTATTTTTATCAAAACATTTGTTTTGTTTTTTTCCCCTCAGTGCTCTGAAAGCCATAAGTGACCGCTGCATGGGTCTTTGTTCACACATAAAACACCTTCAACAGGTGAGCAGCTTAAGTCTGTGTTCTTCTTTGAAGTGCTTTGTGTGTTTAAAATTTTATGGGATTTCCTATATTAGACAATTTGTTTTGTTAGGGTATTGTAATCACTTATAGTATTGTGCAAAGGTCTTGAGTCAACCCTCATTTGATATTTTGCTTGGAAAATGGATAATGTGTTCTGATCTTTATTGAAACATGAAAACGTTCATGGAAGTGCAGTGTATATAAGGCAAACACAGGATCTGTCCAAGTCAATACTTGGCATGACGACCTTTATTCTTCAACATAAATGCTACAGGTTAAAGTGCTACTTAAAGTTGAGGGTTTTATACCCTAATCTACTATTTATTTTTCCAACAGGAGTCCAAAAAACTTCAAGATGAGGTTACAGAAATACAGAAGAACAGACTTGGTATGCTTTACGAGAAAGAAATCGGATGTCTTTCACAGTTAAAGTTCTTAGTTATTTATTGTTTCGACTCCAGATTAAAGTAGTACTTTCTGCTTGCAGAGATGAAACGGCTCACGCATGAGAAGATCAAACACATGGAGGAGTCTTCAAAGAAAGAGTATCCAGACATGGAAAAGTACAAAGCTGCGTTGGAGAAAGGCCAAGCAAACCTGGAAAAATATAAAAAGATGGCCATCATGACCCAAAATGTCCTCAGGGTAAACTTTAGAAAAAACAGTCGGTACAGTTTATGATTGAATGTATGATACTCACTCGCAGTTTTGTTGGTTGTATGTTAATGTTTGTGTTCCTCTTCAGGGCATTCTCTTGGCCTGTAAAGTCAACTGGCTTGATGATCCCAAACTTCGAGACATCGCCATGACACTCGAGGAGTTTCCCATCTCTGAGTAAAGTGTGTGTGTGTGTGTGTGTGTGTGTGTGTGTGTGTGTGTGTGTGTGTGGTGTGGTCCTGCTGGCTGGTGTGTGTGTGTGTGTGTGTGTGCTGTGTGTGTGTGTGTGTGTCAAACTGTTTCAAAAACAGTTTTAGTTTCACCTTGAAAAAGTAAAAGCAATGCCGCCAGATCGCCACCAGAGGGCGCGGAGGAAGCGAGCCAACAGATGAAGCCTGCAGCTCAGCGTGTCACTGAAGAAGAGAAGGAGCAGCATAGAGGAAGGACTACACGTGTTTACAAAGTCCAGCCAGCCTTACTCTGGATAATTACTTACAATTTGGATTTTTGTAGCTCTTTAAGTAGGACAAAATAAAGTAAAATGCCGAAGGTCAAAGCGGTGAAGAAAAGCAGACAGCACCAAGAGGTCAAAAACCAAGGTACGTTTCTGAACGGGGTGCGTTAGCATTAGCATGTTAGCATGCCAGACTTTAGAGACGGGGTCAGTCATCGTGTCTGTGCAGTGTTTGCATATTGAGCTGGTGTATCGCTGTTCTAGCAGTCACAGCATTTAACATGAAGCACTGCTGTAACTGTCGTCACTTGTGTTGACGTGGAAACGTTTCAGTGACTCCAACCCACCAGCTACTTCAATTAAAAGGTTTCTTTTGAAAGTTTCTTTTCCTGCAAATTGTTAATTTGTGCTAACTGCGATATTTAGTCCCGCTGCTTCCGCTGTTATTTTCTGTATGCATTGTTTAGGAGGTGAACAAATGACGTAAACACAAATTGTTTATGCTTAATCAAGATCAGAGAAACAACTGACTGTAACAGTTCTAACATGTAGATTTATTACTACTGTTTTGCAATATTATGAATGTAAATATTCCCCAAAGAAGCTTATGTATGAAGAAATGTTGAAAGTCATTCCTGATATGTAAATAAATGTCTTTTGTCATTATGTTAAAATGCTCGTTTTGATTTTTTTCTTTTTTTTTCATGGTGGTGGGTCGTTATTTCATTTGCAAGCACCCTGAACCTCAAATGTCAATGAAAAATGTTTACTGATAACAGAGCAACAAACTCAGCCAGACTCTTGTTTGGGGCTTGGTGGTGTCAGATTCCCTGATACGTTTTAAGGTCAAAATGTCACTCTGGTCACTCTGCGAGATGCGTTTGATATTTGTAATAAGTAGTCGTGACTGACCGTGGAAGGTGGGGGAATTGGTGCTGCAACTTTACAGTATGCATTTTATTCCACAGGAATAGATGGGCATGGAGAACGGGGAGCAACATTGAAAGTCCACAAAAGCAGTTTAACACTGAAATGATAAGCAGTTACTTCTGCCTCGGATCTGAGGCTGTATGCATGAATTTAAATGAAATTAGAAGTATGACCATCTGGAAACTTAGTTGATGAACAGGCAGGCTGAACTGTTAACTCATTCCTACCTGAAGGCTGAGAGAAGTGCAGAAGATTTTTAAAAAGGAGGATGGATGCAAAGAAAAATGGCATCTTGGTGCCAATTATGAGCGCAGGAAATTATTATTTTTTTTAACTTGTAGCCGTGGTCATGTTTCTCAGCGGTTTCTGGACGGGATTGTGTGATTCCTTAATACTGTCTCACTGCCAGGTGAATGTTAACCCCACTGAACAAAAAGCAGTGCAACGTTCACCCATCTGCAATAGATGCAGTGTTTGAGTAATGATTATAAAATTTTCAGCAGGAGCTGTTTATCTGCAAAATGAGCCTTGGGGGTTTCTTGCTGTGTATATACAGAAGGAGGACTGTAGTGCATTAAAATCCAATTTAGTAGAAACTGTGAAAAATGGCTCATATTCATCTTAGCAAGGGAACAAGCAAAAAAGTATAGTATAACGTTTAGATTTTGCAAGAGCTTCATAGATGTTTTTCATGGGATTAGATGAGCTGGCATGGATGGATTTATCCTTGGCTTAAAATGTGAGCTTAGGACATATAAACCGATATAATTGTTCATATATAAATGACCATAGTCGTCACACATGACCAGCATGCAGTGCTCAGTTTGCTCTCTGTTGCAGGGATCATGTTCAACACTGGCATCGGCCAGCACATCCTGAAGAATCCTCTGGTTGTCAATGGGATTATTGAAAAGGTGGGAAGTACTTGCTGATGCTGCTACAGACAAAAATTTTAACAAATATTCACAAAATGTAAAATATGTGTTTTAAAAAAAAGAAGTGGACAATCATGCAGAGGCTGCTGATCTAACTGAACTGTGACGCGTCTCTTTTTCAGGCTGCTTTGAGGCCGACAGACGTGGTGCTTGAGGTGGGACCTGGTACTGGTAACATGACAGTTAAGCTGCTGGAAAAAGCCAAAAAAGTAAGAGCCTCAAACTGTCGGGGGTCTCGCTCCAAGAACTCACACTACACCTTTATGCAAGCCTTTTTTCAAACATGTCGTGATACACAATGTCAGTAAATACAGATATTTTTAAACCTATATTTAATAGAGAATTGTGTAAACCTATTTAATATTGACACTGAAAATCCAATTAGTTTGTTTTACATTCTCATTATTATTTGTTATGAGATGTTCTGTAACTTATTAAGCCCCAACTAAATTGCAAATGGGACAAAAAGTTGCACAAAATCCTTTCAAACCACCAAAAGTTTAATTCATTTTTGAGATTTGAGATTTGATAAAATTTAGCAAACACCAAAAATGAATTGCATATTGTGGATAATTTGCATGAAAAGGAGCATATACATCAAAATGTATTTTCAGTGGTGCAATCAAAGTTTTAAGTATCCCAGAAAGTCACACTTTATTTTTCAAAATCACCAGTGGAGCTGTGACAGACGGTGGAGACGATATTTAGTAACTCACGTGGATTAACTCTACAATCAACATATATTTGGTTCGATTCCAGGAGGAGGTACAAATGCATCTGATGTGTAAAAATAAAAATAAATAAATCTAAATCAAAAAGCCCAGGGCCAGTATTTTAATTGCTTGCAGACAGTTGCAGAAAGCACGTATGAATGCATGTTTCTGTTATATTGTTTCTTGGAGAATGCTTGGAGCACACGTGCGTAGTTGGTAGATCTCAGCATGGTGTCTTTACAGACAGGTCCACGTTGTCACAGTTAATTGGAGAGGACACAGAGTGCTCCTTTTACCCTGTAATGATAAAATTTACACCCCCAAAAAGACCCTCCACACACTTGGAAAGTATAAAACTGCCATAGGACTACACAGACCGCACTCCCGGAGTTTGTCTGGTATTTCGGTTCACTTTGGTGTTTGTTCGGTGCTGCAATGACTGCAGATTTTTAAAAGTGACTCGCCGTTTTTGCAGGTAGTCGCCTGCGAGTTGGACTGCAGATTGGTGGCTGAACTTCAGAAGAGAGTACAGTGCACGTGAGTGAACAAAGCAGTGCTGCTCTTACATATACTGTGCTTAAAAGTCGTATTTGAATATAAAGTGATCTAATAAAATCATTGTTTTCTCCATCAGACCCTTACAAGCCAAGCTTCAGATATTAATTGGAGATGTGCTAAAAACAGATCTGCCTTTCTTTGACGTCTGTGTGGCTAACTTACCTTACCAGGTACGGACGTGTTTCTGCCAAATCCACACAAGTCTTTCAGTGTCTTGCATTGCACTTGGACCAAACACAGTTTCTCTTTGTGCAGATTTCATCACCTTTTGTCTTCAAGCTCCTGCTGCACCGGCCTTTCTTCAGGTGAGACACAGCTGGAGGTCCATAGAGGAAGTTTGATCGTCTTTTCTCGTATCCCTGCTGTGTTAAGTGCCTGTTATTTATTTATTTTCCTCCAGGTGTGCAGTCTTGATGTTCCAGCGAGAGTTCGCCATGCGCCTGGTTGCCAAGCCTGGAGACAAACTGTACTGCAGACTTTCCATCAACACACAGCTTCTGGCTCGTGTAGACCATCTCATGAAGGTCAGCATCTGCTCTCTGATGGTTGTCTAATGCTAAAAGCAACTCTCTAGACCAGCGGTCCCCAACCTTTTTTGCGCCACGGACCGGTTTATGCCCGACAATATTTTCACGGACCGGCCTTTAAGGTGTCGCGGATAAATACAACAAAATAAAACTAGTACCGGTACCGAAAAAAAGAAAAAATATTCATAACACATGTGAAAAGACCCAGGAAAACAGAGTAAACAATAAAAACGATAACAAAATAACGCTGAAAACAGATTAAAAACCCTGAAAACTATACATTTCACACCTGAACCTCAACTCTTGCGGCCCGGTACCAAGCGACTCACGGACCGGTACCGGTCCGAGGCCCGGGGGTTGGGGACCGCTGCTCTAGACCATATGTCTCAGTGTTAATGTGTATTTTGTTTATTTTTCAATGTTATCAGGTAGGGAAGAATAATTTCCGCCCCCCTCCGAAAGTGGAGTCGAGTGTCGTCAGGATAGAACCCAAAAATCCTCCTCCTCCAGTGAACTTCCAGGTGAGCTTTGATTGTTAACGAATCCTACTGTGGAGGAGTATTCATTAAAAATATAAGTTAGACTGAAGGTGTATGTTGTTTTTATTCTAGGAGTGGGACGGCCTTGTCAGAATAGCCTTTGTAAGGAAAAACAAAACCCTCAACGCAGCTTTTAAGTGAGTAGCTCTCAAACTGTTCAGTCAAAAGTGGGTGTGGTCAAGAGCAGATGGTCATGTGATCTTGTATTCTGTAGGTCCGCTGCAGTGGAGCAGATGCTGGAGAAGAACTACAGAATTCACTGTTCTCTTCACAATACGGTGAGTCAAGTTTTTAAATAAACGACTCCTCAGCCCTCTTTAAAGATCTCGCCCGCTCCCTGTTTCTCTGCTTTTAATCAGGAATCTTTTTGTGCATCTTCACAGGAAGTCCCAGCTGACTTCAGCATTAGCAAAAAAATCGAGAGTGTCCTTCAGGAAGCAGATTTCAGTGAGAAGAGAGCCAGGTCGATGGACATTGATGACTTCATGGTGTAAGCTGACATTCTCCACCTTGAAACGCCACAGCCTGTAGCTTTTAGTGTGCTTTCCCTACACTTCCTGTGTAATTACATAGTAAAAAATGCCTCTTTTCCACTATTACCTACTCGACTCTATTCTCTTGCATTACAATTGAGCACCTCTAGTATGGTTGGCTCAAGAGTCCTGTGATGTCATTTGTATGTGACACAAACGCAACAGTCGAGCACATCAAAGCGATGGCATTACCTGCTCAATCAGGGGCTTTTTTTTTCCAGACTTGGGGTAAAGATAAGAGCCAGAATGAGTCACTCCCTGACCAATCAGTGGCATGCGGTCTATTTATGTCCCATTTTCAGCGCGACTCTACTTGCTTTGAACCCCAATGAAGAGTTTTGTTGTTGTTTTTTTTGGTTTTTTTCTTCTAAGTAATCGGTACCAGGTTTTACCAACTAATGGAAAACTCAAAAAATTCAGATTAGAACTTGGCATGTAACATATGTACACGAATGTGACCTGCGTGTGGATGACAGGAGTCTATTGTACATTATAAACGGCAGGCTGCATGTGGTTGTTAAAGGCTTCACTGTTCTAATGTGTTCAATCGTCTTTTCTTCATCATCCTCAGACTGCTGCATGCGTTCAACTCTGCAGGAATCCACTTCTCCTAACTCTGATGAGAAGATCTTCACATCTTTCAAAATTGTCACGCAAGGGAGAATTTTGTGGTCAGATCAGGGAAGAACAAACGCCTGTCTGGTTCAGCCCCTGGAGCCATGTTTGACGGAACTGAAATTTAAGATATTGAAATGGTTGAATGAAATATACAAATAATATCAGATGCATTTAAAGTGCTCATATTGAGTGCTATTTTACGTTTGTGAAAATATGACCTGTAAAAACTTTGAGCACAGATACTTTAAAGCCTCTTACTGGTCTGAGTTTGTTCTTTGTCCAAAAAGTTTAGAAAACCAGACGTTTTCTAAACAACAGATTTTCCTATTCATGAAAAGTGTAGACATCTTACATTGTTTTTTATGTAACTCTCAATAATGCAGAGTTACTCCTGCGTAACAGGTGCCCTTTAACAAGAATCAATATTCCCCGTTGCACTACATAAACAATTTGATTGCTTTATGCTTTTGTCCTGACTTTTTTTTCTGTTTTTGAACGTTTGTACCAGAAAAGAAATCTTTTAATGGTATGACTGCCATGAATATAACTACATGTAAAGAAACTAGAAATATTAAAACATAGTCTGGATAAGCTCAGAACAAGGATAATCAATTAATGAGTTACTAAAGAACAGACTGAGGGGTATAAAAACGCAATAAATGTTATGAAAGAAAATAGTGACCATTTGTTTTCTAACAATAATACACGTCTACTGGAAACACCAAGGAAACATGGATACAGAAAGAACACGTGTGGAAATTGTAGTTACTCACTCTCGCCGCTGGAGGGCAGTGAATAGCAATTAATGTCTTGGTCATGTTAAGGTGGAAACATTGGCTACTGATGCTGAGATGACTTTCAAAATAAAATAAGTTTGCCATTTGAGTACAATAATACACTGCAGGCTGTTACTGTTGTAAGTTAATATTTTCCTTTTTTAATATAGAATAAAACATTTTAAGTATTGACTTCACGCTCTGAGGCGTCTACTACAAAGGAGGATTTCGTCTTGAGCAGGTAATTTCAGGGTTAACCCTGAATATTCTAAACCGAAGGTGATTCACTTACCAGGGTAAATCACTATGGTGACGTATTCTTTCCTCATTAAGAGATCCTGCTGACCAATCAGATCTCCAGAATACAAGGCTCAGTAGTGAATACAGTACCATTATTACTTTATTTTCGCCTCTCTTTTACCTACATTTTTGCGATTACTTTTGTTTTCTAAGCATCAGTACCTGATCTTAAAACAGGAGGATGCCTATACTGCTGCAGACTAAGCCTATGTTTGAATTCTATTTTTATAATTATCTTTTACAGCAGAACTGAGAGCGAACTCTGTGATAAAATAATTTGAGTTAAATGTTTATTTTACTGGTCTGTGCGCTAAATCACAAATTCACGGGTTCTTGTTCTTTATAGATTTTTGACAATCATTTTATCATCTGATAAAATCTCTGATTGGAGCAGGTGACACTCATAGGGGTCATTTTATGTGGAAGAAAAATGAGCCATGAAACTTTTAGATTAGTCAGATACCGCTAACACCACCCCAGGGGAAACCTTGGGTTAACTTAGCCAGTTTATAACCAGCTTTGTGTGACTGCTTATCTTGATCTTATCTTGATCGAACTCACCCTGATGGGAAAACTTAAAGTAGCGCAGTCAAATTCGAGGTGGTGAAGCGGAGCCCACCTTTAGACGCTCAATTTCTACTCAAGCTTGACTTTATGTTTGTGGCAAATAAAGATAATTTGGGTCACAGAAGTCATTGAAATGAAACATGACTTTTTATTAATTCTTCCAGCATTACATCTGGTGCAAACACTGAGCAACATAACCAATGATAGGTCAGTGATCTTCACTATACATTTATTAATAGTTTTTCTAGTTCCATTTTTTTTAACAAAGTGTTAAATGGGTGGAAAACATGTTTTACATTAAGAGTTTTTTGAGTCAGTTGCCACATGGCACAGACTGTAGCAAACTACAAGTAAAAATCTGTCAGGGATGACAGAAGGAAAGAAACACAATGTGGTTTAACGCTTCCTCCAAACTGGTAAAAACTTTGAGAAGGAAGGGAAAGGGAGAAGAGATTACTTACAATGAAGTATGACTTTACGATGCCGACCGGGGGACCCCCGGACCATGAAACAGTGGTGAACATAAGCTATCACAGAGTGAACATGCAGAAATGTCAGCCAGAGCAAACCAGAAATCAAATACTGGTTTTGTGTAGTAAACTTCGAAGCATGTTCAACTGAGATCTCCTCTGAAAACCGGTCGAAAAGTTTTAGTTCAAAGGAAGTACAAACGGGTATAAAAGAAAAATAATTTAAGTACAAGGAAAGGAAACTAAACATTCTCCATTAAAAAAAATCATCTAAAGTGGAAGGAAATAAAAACTAGTTTCCTTCCAGTTTTCTAACAAGACCAAAGAGTGAGTGGAGAGCCAGTTTCTGTTACTAGAGGGATCAAAACAAACGATATTCATTGAGCCTGTTGGTACATTAGACAGTCTTTTAATTTGTGTTTTCACAGCTGCCAGCGTCAGCTCGACTTGTGCCAAACATCTAGTGGTTATGTTTCTCAACATGCCACTTAAACCTCTTCAGACTCTAAAGAGCACGTGGCCTCTTGGGATTGATCTGCTTACTGGCTTGCTCCTCCTCCTGCAGTGCAGAGCGGAATGACTTCACTTTATCTGTTGAGGAGAGCAAAAGCATTTCACACATTTAAAAAATGTAGCAGGATGGCTTTATTCTATTGTTAAGTGATGTTTCAGGCATACCTCGGAGCTCAGTGAGGATTTCTATCTTTTGATCTAGGATCTGCTCCAGCTGCGTGGCGTAAGACTCCACGTCATAATCCACCTCCTCCGTCATCTCCAGCAGCACCTTTTCATCTTCCAGCCACCGGATAGACTCCTGCTCAGAGGAGAACAAAGAGAAGTTATAAATTCACTGTCAGGAGCTGCAATTTATCTGGATTCATATAAGTATGTATGAGAAAAAGAAAGAAACGAGGAGAGCTGGAGTGTTTTCTAACCTGGAAAACAGCTCTGTGGTCCTCTAGGACCTGCTCCTCCATCTCCACCAACTGTGACACGGCCTCATGGAAGGTGAAGAGCTGAGGAGACACTTCTTCCTCCTGTGTTTACAGATCCAGCAGAAGATCCAGATTTAAACAAAGGAGATCAGGCATTTTTAAATAGCCACTTCTAAACTGTGGCTTCTTTCCCTTTATACGTCACGATGTCTCCTACAAACAAATATTCTTTAAACCTGAGTAAAAACCCATGTTTATAATTTGGGTTTTAAACCAGACTGAGTTCTTCTATTTGTGTTATTATTATATTATCTCACTCTTTTGTATGACGCATTTTAGTCAAAAATCTAATTTTCTTAAAATTGTTAAATTAAACGTACTTAACAAAAAGCTACAGCACAGAGATCATTTCTGAAATCTGGTTATCAGTGGACCTCACCTTCATCACTGATAAATAAAAGTTTGAATGTTAATCCAAAAACACTTGGGGTAGTGTAGGGGTAGTGAAATACGTGGCAGCTGCGATATGGTAAATGGGCTGGTACTTATTTAGTGCTCATATACCAGTATCTTGCACTGATTGCCCCTTGTAGGAGCCAGGGACTGAACTACTGAGTAATATACAGCCTTGTTTTACCTCCTGTTCCACAGCAGCCCTATTTTCAGATATAAGTTCCAGATGTAAACAGTCTGATTTGTGCTTCAAAGAATCAACTGTGAGCACTTACATTCTGCTCACAGAGAAGTTTAAGGTCGTCTCTTTGTGGTGAGATGCTCAGCCACTCTTCATCCAAGAGATCCAGCTGGTTGACAGCATGGATATTGGGGCGTCCCCCTTCCATCACTTGGTTGGGGTCCACCGTTAGTTCCTTTACCCTACAGACCAAAAGAAGAAATAAAGAAACACATCAGATCGCAGCGACCACAGGTCAGACCTGTTCTTAACAAGGCTGATGTTTGGTTTGCGGTTCATGGTTTGTGCAGCATGGCAGCTTCATGACAGCAGTGATGTCATGCACAGGCACAGATGACAATGCTCAATTTCCAGATATCAGTTTTCATGGTAACTGGAGTCTGGGTGTTCAGAGCTCATGTTTAACTAGGCTCTCGCAGAGCTGATGAGCTGATGAGGGATTACAGCACTGTACCCAACCTGCAGGTGCCAGCGCCAATTAATTAGGACTACGGCCGGGATAAGGGATTACCCGCTGAGTGTTTGGCTCAAACAAAAGCTCACTGTGGATGCATTTGCCAAACAGCTAAAAGTTGAGTTTTGCACCAGCATTCTGACTTATCACACCCAGCTATCGCAGTTATCCCTGACATCCGGGGCATGAACAGCAATGAAACAACAGAGCAAATAAAAGACACACCCACACAGACAGACATATTGTTCTTCAGGATTTAGCAAAACAATTAAAAAAAAAAAAAAAGTTTTGTCTACAGTTCAGATCAAAGTCAAAGCAGGGATGAAAAGATGAATCACATCAAAACATGCAGATGAAAAACAGAAAGGGGAAGACAGGAAGTGTAGCGCAGTGAGGAGCTGATAAATGAGCTCATGGGTGTGTTCTATAATGCATTAGATACACAAAGGGACAGCATGCACTGTGTGTATTTGTGCGTGTGGTGCTGTGCTTTGGGGAGTGCTTGACCTGCTGGGAGAAGTAGCAGCAAAGTCATCATACTCAAAGGTATTGGTGGGCGAGTGCTCAGGGCGGCTTCCCTGACCGCTCTGGGAGAAGGGGATGTCTGACGGACTAATCCCAAACTCCTTCACTCTAAGCAGTCATCATACCAGCACACAGAGCAGCAGAGGGCGGGAAACAAGAAGGAAAGAAAGTAGGAAAAAGGGGGAAGAGGATACAAGAGTCAGAACGAACAAGAGTAAGCAGAGAAATTTGGAGTAGTACAGCTAATTTCAGATTCTATAAAAGCCACTGGACATTACAGAGGAATCCAAAAGAGCTAAAATTTCATAAAGGTGAATAATCCAAGAAGTTCCTGTAGCAAGAAGATACTGTCCAAATCACTGGAGTGGGTTATCTCAACCCCACCTGTTAGCGTAGCGTAGTGTGTTGAGTGTGTTCTCACAGGATGTCATCCCAGGAGAAATGGTTGCAATCTGGAGCAAAAAAACAGAATATGTCATTCAGATTTATTTCATATTTATTAACCTGTGGAAGAGATGTGATAACATGGCCAAAGACAGAGGACTGACCATGCATGTGCGTGAGTTTTCCCCAATAAAGGAGTCTCTGAGGACCTGGGTGAGCTTACTGGCTCTGAATGGTGTATGGGGCTTGTTACGACCCAGAGCTCTGATACACTCCTGAAACAACAAGAGAGACATACTTGGTAAATTTAAAAAAAAAAAAAAAAATTACAAATGGAAAAAGTATACATGACATTTCTTTGTTATTTTACAAATCAACAACAAAAAAACGAAGTGGTAGCCAACACTTGGGAAGGAGCTACTCCACTATCCCTTCACTGCACACAGACCTTCAGGGCTAACAAGCTTTTGTTGATCTCTGCTCCCTCCAGACGAGTCTGCCGGTCAGCGCTCGATGTATCCGCCCCCCTCTCATTGCCCGCAAGGTCGATGAGGGAGAACTTTCCATGCATCTTCCCCTTCCTCCGGAGAATGATCTGGAAAACGGCGTGGCTGCGAGATGAGTGAGCGTTGGCGGACGTCTGCCCTGATGTTCTTTTGGGGGGTGATCAAGATGATGATGAAGACAAAGCAGCAGCAGCGAGGGCAAAAAATTAATAACTTTAGGAGAAGGAATAACATCCTCAAAGAACATGAATATTGTGCTAGACGACGTCTGCATGACAATAAACGAATTTCAGAGTTTTGATCTGATCACTGATCAAATACAAGAACGCAAAGTCTCGGAATTCCTGAGAAAGTTCCTGCTGTCATACCTGCAGCTGTTTCCCACTTCAATGAGTTTCAGGACATCCTCTGTGCACTTGACCTCCTTCTCCTGCAGCCCCACCACCTGCACTTGCTGTTTCCCGTCCTCCAGTACCCTCAGCTTAGCTTTACGATTCAGCAGGTCAAACACCTACAAACACAGTTCTGTCAGCATTAAATAAAATCTCTCCTTCAGAAAAAAATAAGGAAAAAAAATGATCACACATCACTTGCCTTCCCACTGTAGATTTCAAAGAAAGTTGCGTACACTTGTAGATCTAACTTTTTGTAGCTGGGTTTCTTCAACATGAGAAATACATCCCGAGCTGCACAGAAACACACGAGAGATCGAATTCCAAAACAGATCCAACTTATCCTTCAGTCAACAAAGAGCTACATCTAATGTGCTTACCAGCTAATGCATAAATTCCTTTAGAGCAGTCTTGGTTTTTCCCAGAGAAATCACCACCCATAGTCTGTGACACAATGAAAAAATAAATATATACAAGTTAAAATGTATTTTATACACAAATTATATAAGATGCACTCCAACTACAAGGATAAAAGCCTTCTGTTTTCTTAAAGGCACATTAATTGTAACTCACGTGTGTTTTTCCACTGCCTGTCTGTCCGTAGGCGAAGCAGGTGGCCATGCCTCTCTCAAAAATGGTTTCCACAAGAGGTCTGGCTGTGAACCTGCAGGAGAAGACAAAACACAGTCATGCGCTACTCCATCCCCAAATTTATACATAAAATATTAACAATTCATTCATCTAATTTTGTTTGTTAGTCACCTTTCTTCTGACTAAAGGAATTATATTAACATGCAAAAAAAAACAGATTTCAGTTTTTTATTATCTATGAATTTGCAACTTGAAAATGTCAAACTACCTGTTATTTGAATTAGTTTGGTTTAGTAACAATGCAAATAGATAAACAGTCATTTGTAGAATGTTTGTAAATGATTAAAAAACCATAAAACGATCACAATCAACACATTTTGGTCAAATTCCGCTGGCCGAGTGGCCAGGTCGCACCCCTCAATGAGTGTGGCTGCGCTGATCCAGGGTTTCCTTCCCCTAGCCGATAATTTGTGGCAAAACACTGACTTGTTCATTTGTAGTTTGTGCATCAGAAACCGTTCAACAATTTTTTTCCCCCAGACATAGCTGTCTGCAAACATCTCTCAAAACTAAGCTAAGACAAACACTGCAAATACTGGAAAGTCTGGTTGTTCTTGATTGTGCGCCATTGCTTGGCAGAGATTCTCCGTCTGTGTCTTTGGTTGGCTTATCGTGTGCTGCGTCACATAATATGAATCTGACTTGAAATTGAATAAATCTAACAACTCAGATGTCGCTTCGGGTCACAAACCTGTAAACCATCTCGTTTGTGGTGCTGTCGTCAAAGGCGTAGTCAAAGCGGAAGGTCTGGTTCTCCAGGTAGCGGGTCAGGTCCACTTTTTGTTTAGGTTCATGAACCATCACCACATCCTTACTGGGAATGGTGATCACATCCAAATCTTTCACGGACAACTCTGAAACACAGCAGAGGCGACACTTTCAAATACAACAATATAAAAAAAGTACTTAGCACGCAACATGAGGCGAAACTCATCAAAGACCTCACCTTTTTTGTTGAGTGGACGTTTCCTCACACAAACGCATATTCTGTGCTCTTCAATCTGGGCAGTGCAATGAGAAGGACATTTATTAAACTTTGGATGAAGGTCAATTCTTACCGATCAGGAGCGAAGAAGAATTTTCACCAGGTCTGCTGTGGTCAGGGGCCGGTAGTCTAGACTGGCTCGGAAATCTCGGATCATGTACATGATCTCATAGTTGGGGATGGTGGTGTCCACCTCCTGAAGGACAGAGAGACAACATGACAATTACTCTCATGTCAAATATACTCACTTCAATGTAAACAACTCTATGGCAAAAAGAAAAAAAAGAAGAACAACATCAGTGTACCTGAGCTCTTTTCTCCCTGAGCTCCTGCTGCTGAAGCCGGCGTCTTTCTCTTTTCTCTTGAAGTTTTTCCACCTCCTTCACACAGTTTGACTTCCTTCGTGCTGCCATTTAGAAAAGAAAAACAGTAATTCTCCCAGCTTTCACATCATGTATCAACAGCTTTCTCTTCCCCTTTCATCTCGCATACAATATGTCACTTCTACTACTTTCCCAGCGTCTTCTATCAGCTTTCCTTTCTGTTGGCCTTTATTTAAACAGCAGAGAAACCTTGGGCTGGCTGCAACAAAGCAGAGCAGTGATACAGCTACTACACACCAGGATGCAGCGGCTGGCACACAGTGTCTCCCGCATAACATTAGCTGCTTGCTCTACATAACCAACAAAAGGCCTTTGCAGCACTGTGTTTCAACACCTTTTTATTTTTATTTGTGTCCTCAAACACAACAGGACATGTGACCTCTGAAAGGAAAATTAAAAAAAACAAAGACAAAACCAAAAAACACTTACAATGCAGGATATGTGCCTTGCATTACTGTTTTAATCCAGTCTGATTACAGTAAGAGGCTGTTTCAAATCAAGAATGATCGTCTTAAGAAGGTTATTCCAAAGCTCCCGAGCACCACACCCCCAGATTAGTTTTGTTTCAGGTCAATCAAACTATTAGTCACCATTATAAAGGAACACAAGTTAGCAAACATGTGAGTAAAAGCCACTTTTAATTCAATGCAGAGTTCATCAAAACTATGTTATTCGATTAGCCCCGGCTCAATGCTCGCCGCTGTAGCCCCAGCTTCCCGCTGCAAAGCCCAGCCCAAGCCTTGTGACAGAGTCCTGGCCTCCTGCTGGCTCCAGTCCCTGAAAACCCAGACTATCGGAGCAGAGGGATTAATAATCTGCTCTAATCTGTGAGGAGAAGATGAACTGGGTCAGCACCGGGACAAGAAATATAAGACGAACTCAGCACCGTTACTGCTTATGAGCTATTCAGTCTGTGTGGAGGGGAGCTGAGGGGGTGAGGAGGGGGGACAAGGCGTTCACATCATCCTCTCAGCCTTCCAAATGACAGCGAGCACTTTGAATAAAAGGCTATCATTGCTGTCTGAGCCCAGAGACGTAACACACATTACCGCAGGCTCTTCCACGTGTGTGCCCGTGTGTGACTCAGCAGAAACCAGACGCACACACACACACACACACAAAAAAAAAAAAAGCAGCACAGCCAAACGACACCACAATTTTTTTCCCCTCCTAATACCCAGAAAGCCTGTCTGCTGGATGGATTGTGAGTGTGCTGCTTCTTGTCCACACAACAGCTCTGAGCAGTACGTGGCAGACATTTGGCTGAGCGATCTTCTTGTTTGACTAGCGGTCTATCGGACTCTATTGGAAACTATCAGAATCACTGTGAAGCACTGAGGGCAGGGGTAACATGCAGGTGATACATACAAAGCTGTCCAAACTCCTTTCTGGATAGCGGCTGATGTGAGGACTCTGTGATGAACATGTGGTCAACAAAGACACGACATTAAAAGATTTTGATGGTATGCTTTTGTGCGATCGATGCATTTTTACTAACGCTGACAGTATATTTGGATAAAAAAAAAAAGAAAAATCTTATATGGATTATACTTCACATTTACATAAAGGGATTAGTCTAGAAGCTTTTGGCCAACTGCTTAAAACTGGTTTCTTGAAATGATCATTTTCTTGACAAATGTCATGATTGTTACCGTTCTGTAGCTGCTGCTGTGTCTGGGCCTGAGTGGGCTGTGCAGGCTGCTGCGATGGAGGAGGTGGAGCAGGCTCTGGCTGCTGAGGCTGTGGAGGTCTGGCCCGGGTTGGAATTGCTTAAGACACAACACCACAAAGATTAAAATACAAATATCTCTGATCCAAATGCCACTACCAAGCAACACTAACAGCAACCCCCCCCCCCCAAAAAAAAACAAAAACAAAAACCCAACACCAAAATAATTAAATGAATGAATATTAAAAAAGGAGGAAGGAGGAGAAAAGAAAAAAAAAGATAATAATAATAATAATGAATAAAAAACTCAGAATATGTTTACTTTGGTCAAATTTGTTAGCACAACAAACGTGGATGGTTCACGTGTACTGAAACTATAAGGCTGTGAGTGTTATGTTTGTATTTCAGAAAAATGCTTTCTTATAAATAAGGAAGTAGCTGAAAGTAGTGGGTAGTTCTATATATAAATGGATTAGTCAGTATTTATTTATTAATCTTTTTTTTTTTTTTTTTTTAAACACCGGGTGTCCGTACTGATGCACCACCAAAGGGATTTGTGTCTCCTCCTGGTAGCTTTTTCTTGTTTGCCAAAAGTGTAAACGACTACACTGGAGTCACTATGTTTGCATTGGAGAACATATTCTATTAAACTATCAATTTTACATTTAAACAACTACTGCCTGCCCATACTACAGTACTGTTTGACCAGTGTTTGCTGCTTGCCATGAAATGAGTATGACAAGAAGCTTTTATGAGACCATAGGTGCATAAATGCAAAAACGGCATATGTGTGGATGTAAATGAGAAGCTAATGTCAAGAAATAAAAATGATATGATGCTTTTATAAATGCTTAAAAAGTTAGTTCTTCCTGATTGCACAGGAAGAGTTGGTGGACAAAAAACAAAAACAAAAAACCCCACAGATTTTTTGCATTCTAGTAAAATAATTGCTAAACTAAAGTGGGCAAACTCATGATGGAAATAAACAAAACAAAGACTGACAAACAAAAAAATAGCAATCCATATAAAGCAAAAATTTCAATAACAATTAAACCACCATAAATATGTGAGGATAATGTTGCAGTTCCTCAAACCTCTATTATCTCTGGATGGAGTATCATTCTTAGGAGGTGCTATCGTCCGTCGGTTCTGTGAGGGGAAACCAAATAAAGAGAAATGACTACCGAGTTAGTTAGTGTGATTCTTACTTTTGTTGTCACAAAGTTCTAGACTTTTCTTATCGTGAGTACTCTGCATACAAAAATACAGAAATACACATGCTTTTTTGGAGGCGAGTGGTTAATGTATCCACATGCTGCAAGCCATACTGTGTGGCACAGATGGAGACACAGAGCGGCACAGGTGCAACAGTACCCTGTTCCCTCACTGGCAGAAATTTTCCTGTAATTTCTGATCATTTGACAAATGTGAATATCAGACAAAAATGTCTAATATTCAGTACTGGGTAAGTGACAATTTAAAATTGGACTTTACTAAAATTCTAGTTAGATCTCTGACAAAGGAAAAACCGTGATGATACAGCTCACGCCGCAAAACACACAAAAACAATCTTGAGTCTGGGTGGGCTGGTGGTGAGACAAAAGGATGGTGGGAACCTTGAGCCCTAAATATTTACTGAATTTAGAAAGAAAAAAACCACTGAAGACTCTCACCTGTTAGTCTATATTTATGACACGTGGTGTAATTAACAGGACCAGTTAGGTGGTTCCTGAGAAGGATCGAGGTTCTATAAAAAGATCCAGCATACTGAGCCGCACAGGTCACCCGAGGAAGCCTGGGTGCTAGCCCATGAATGAGGGATGAGGGTGACAAAACAAAGAGCTGCAATTCCGAGCAATGTAAATCACACGCTACACCTTTAGGTGCTCATAAGGTCACACAGCACCACTCACCTTTGCAATTTTGTTGACCTTCACACATGTGGGTGTAGGAGGGGGTGGGGTCTCTGGACTAGGGGCAATTTCTTCATCTGGAGCCACATCTGGATTAAGTGCAAATATACTCTCCAAGTCAATCTGTCCAGAAACAGAGCAGCATAAAGTCAAGTGATTCTGTCTATGACAGGGTGTTCAGTCAGTTTGAAAATACAGTGCATCACAAAAGCCTAAAAAGGGCTTAAATGAGACCAGTTTTGTACATAATTAAGGTGGACAAGAGTCTTCAAACTAACCCCAAGTGCTTATATTTAAACTTGGATGTCTCTTGTGTGCTGAGTAGTCAAAATTATTCATCAGATTTATTGCAGTAAAGCCAAAGGGTGTTGACCACTTTCTAAAACTGCTGCTGAATGTAATTTTTAAAGTTCTGTACTGTAAATTTCACCAACGCTCCATGGGTGAAAAAGCTCAGAGACAGACTTGCTCCACGGACACTTTGTCATTTTGATGGGCTGAGAATCAATGCTGCAATTAATGGACAACTTGCTCCAACTTTCTCATTCGTTTTTATACTTTAAAAATCTAGGCAATGTGCACGCTGTATAAGCATTCACATTATTGAGATCCTCCTGCACTTAACTACTTCTGCATACTTTGTGCTACAGAAACCATTCTGGTATCAAAATGTTCAGCTTTTTCTGGAGAAGTGTGCTTTTATGAAGAATTCAATTTTTTATGGCATTTTGCCACCACTGTGTGATGACATCCCCTGCTCTTTAAACGGTGCTAGAAGAATAATGTGAAAAAACTTCTCTTTTTTTCATGCCCAAATCGTTTGCCTTACATGTATAAGATATACATCAAAACATAGCCATCTCTGTCCTCTTTCATCCAGTGTCATTCAGCAATTTCTCATTTCTCTTTCCGTTTTGTTGGAGGGAAAAAGTAAACAGCCTGAAGCTGCCATCCTCTGCAGTGGTTGCTTTGTTTAAAGTTCTTTCCACAAACTAAAGTTTTCAAACAGTTGTAACATCTCCCTCTGTGTGTTTGTACGTCTCTGAGCTTCTGTGCAGGATTATGATTAAAATTCAGCTAATAACCGGCATGATCATAGACTTGTGTCTTAAACACAACTGGGATGACTCCTTACAATAATCAAGAGGTGCACGACCGGCCGACGCACCACAAAGATTGTGTCTAGCGACACAGGAAGTTATGTCAAAATCGTCACACGGCTAAACATTTATAGATAAACATTTCTCATTTGAGATCATTTTTCATTTTGATGAGCTTCAGCTCCAAGTTTAGCATTTTTGAAGCTCAGTTTTGGTACCTTTTTCGCTTTATTTCGCATATTTTCAGTTTTTGGTACTGTTGCTGGCCGATATTTTGCTAATCTTTTGCAATTAAGCTGATTTAGCAAATTCAGCTTTGAATATTTCAAATATTTTTAAACATTTCAGGCAACATTTTCAAATTGCAGCATTCACATTGCATTTTTGGTAGGAAATGCTTTTTCTAGTATTTTTTATTGTCTTATTTGGACTGCGCGTATGTGCTCCAAAGACCGGGCTGAACCAAATGTAGAAACAGACATTTTTATATAAATAATTCTGCTTATCTTTGTGCTTTTTATTATGTCCATGAAAAATAATTATGAAAATGTGATGCAGCAAGCCTGCCGCCAGATGTACTGTTAAATTTTCACACTGTCTACATGTGATCAGAGCTGCAGGGTGTGCAAGGGGTGATGTGTGGTCGAACATGCAGCTTAGTTGCATAATCACAGCATCTCCTGAATGCCTTTGGATCTATTATTCATTGCTTTGGAAAATAAAAAGCACTTTGTGCTGTTAAGGAAGCTTTAAGAGGTAAAAAACAGTGGTAAATAGTGGTTTACCTCTTTTCCCTTTGTGTCTCCATTTTCTATCCACTCCACTGTGACGCTCTCATTGTCCTCATTAAGTGAGGTCACCATCGCCTGATGTATACGTCCTGTAAAAGCACCAGAGATAAGATGAACTCAAACATCAGATTAGCAGAAAAACATAAATAGCTGAAGGTAGAAAATATTGGGACAAACATCACTGTAGTGCTATGGAAAATTAAAAGCATTTTATTGTTTAGTAAGTACAACAACAACATAACTGCATTTGCCATTCAAACCCCATGATTTATGAAATATAAAAAGGTCTAATTACCACCTGCTACCATGATCAGATCTGCATGCAGTCTTGTTAAAATAAAACTGTTTTTATTTGGATATACACTGACTTTAAAGAATATGTTTTTAAATAATATACTATATAACAGGGTAGGCAACCTTTCTGACGACGAGTGCCACTAATTATGATTGCATTAGCAATAAATTTAATAACGCTCTATATTAACAGTTACACACTATATAGAACCACTTTATAGAATTATATTTGTTCGCAGATGTTGGCAGCTATCAGCGAATAGTTATCAGCTATTTTGAAACAAAAAAAGACATTTTTATCCATAACAGCAAATGAACTGTACAACAGAAAATACAAATGCTATTTATGGTCTCCTCACAACAATGATAAGAAAAATAAACTGGGCCAATATGGCATGTTTGTTAATACAGAGACACACATGTTAATGTGATCTCTGGTCTCCCACTCAGAGACACAGGTCTCCGAGTGTCCAGCATTCAGACGGCTACCTGAGGACTCATGTGAGAGAAAATCTGCTCACACAGATATGTAGAGCCAAATACTGTCAATAAGGCCTCTGCAATGTTCTGAAGACAGTTAAACTTGTCAGGTAGTGATGTCCAGCAGGTGAAAATGCAAGCTCCATGAACACGCACAGCTTGGATTCCAGCTGCTTCGATGTTGCATTAACTGGCATTAACTCAGCCAGTTAATGCGAGACAAATCCAGCTGCTCATTAAAGATTTTATCAGAAAGGGTGGGTGGAGAGGCGGGGGAAGTTGGGGATGGTGGGGGAGGGGGGGCGGAAGGTGAAAAATGGGGGTGGAAATTCCCGAACAACTTTCCTATTGGTCCATACACCTGAAAGTCCTCAAAAACACATTGTGAATTCTGTCTCGAGCACAACTGAATGTGTCTATCCGAGCTAATTTACGATGTGCACCGCTGGCCTGGCCATTTATTTTTAATGCACCTCTCAGATTAATTCACTGCTGTGTCGTGCTCAGGGCTGGACTGGGACAAAAAATCGTCCCGGGCATTTTGACTAGAGACCGGCCCCCAGGTATTAAAGCCATAAAGCTTTGAATGAAAACAAACGCTGTTGTGACAGTGATGTCACAGTCTTGTTGGTATATGTATGATTTCTATACATTTTACGATCAGATAAAAACTTTGGTTGTAAGCTTCAGATAATTATTTAAAAGCAGACATTTTAAATGAGAATAGAAGAAAAGTATTTCTTTGTGCCTTTCCCTGTTAATGCCCTACCTGGCCCTGGCAACACTTTGCTAGACCCGCCCCTGCACAGTTACCAGCTGTCAGCTACATAGAAAAGGATCCTGGTGTTATTTGTCTCTCAGAAACAGTTCATAACTTCCCTTCAACTCATTCATGTCACCTAAAAGGTAAACCTGTTTCTCCATCACCTGTTCAGCTCTGATGATTCAGTAAGGACATCTCCTGGTTTCATCTTCATGTTTCCCTCTCACCAGATAACCAAACCGACTATCATGACCAGCAGGTTTACAGCTGTGGCTCCAGCAAACATCAGCTGATACTAGAAATTAATATTAAATAAATTCTAACAACAGCTGATCAAGCTTAAACGTGCTGCTGTTGTTTAGCGCGACATCCGCTGGTTTCCTCTTTCTGGCGCAAAGTGGAGCGACAAACAAACAGAGAGCGATCAGCTGATCATTGATCAGTTTCATGATTGAAGTAGAAAGGAGAGAGAGGAGAGAAGAGGCAGCTGTGCAGCATAACGACAGAATAACTCCTTTGTGTCTTTTTCCATTCTAGCTGAAGTCCGGGACAAACTGTTCCTTTTCAGCTCAATACAAAACGCATAATATTTTCTCTGAATGCGGGACGACTCCGTCTTTTTACAGGACGGTTGGCAACTCTAATAACTAACCTTATGAATAAAATAAAGTTCGCTACAACAATGCTGTATAGAAACTCCGTCATGCTAGCTAGTACGCAGTACGAGTTATTGTAACTGACTGTAAAAAGTCAGCACAACGAAAATAAACTACACCTAAACTTGGTTTATATTTGACCCAGATAGACAGGCAGGTCATAACTTCTTACCTGAAGTTCAGTTCACCTGACACTCGGACCAGCGGCCGCCTCGGGTCTCTGCTCCTCCTGCCTCCCCTCTCCCTCATCCACCTACCAGCCTCCACCACTTGATAATGTTACTGAATCTGTGGAAGCTCCGCCATAGCCACCACCAAACGAGTTATTTTTACACACCGGCCAGCATCTGGCCAATCCACCACCTGTCATTTTTTATACCCTTACAAAAAATAAAAAAATAAAAAAATCATCCACCCACCGAGCAAATGCCCGGTATGCCCGATGACCAGTCCAGCTATGGTCGTGCCATCAGTTAACCCTTCGCGTGCCAACTGTAGCACGCGTGCTTAGGGTTGCCGACCCCTGCTATATTATAATTGTTGTGTGACGACCCACTGATGTATTCTATACATTTTACATTTTCAGTTCTGTTTCTGAAGTGTTGTGCTCCAACTTTTTTATTATTATGCCATATACATTTAACCTAGCTTCAATTAAACCATTTCATTACTAATTATATAAGCTTATATTCACCTTTATCCTCACAAACAAAGAATCTAGTTCCAGATAATGCAGGCGTTTCAGTGAAATGTTACCAACACAAAACCCGCCTATGCTCACCAACAGAGGCTTTTATTTCATTTCCATTGTTCTGTAAGTGACTGAACAAATTGGGTTTCTTGTGAGAGGAAGGCAGCAGGCTGAGGCTAATCTTGGTAAGTTCAGACCAGGAGGTTTGATAATGAAACGTTAGCGAGACTCGGATAACGGAGATGAGAGCAGCTGCTGTTAGCCTCTGTGCTTCTCTCCGCCCCTCTGTCTTCAACACTGCAATACTAACAGCTGGAGAAAAAAAAAAGAAAAAGGACAAAAAAGAAAAAAAAGCTGCTCAGCCCTCCCATTTCTGCCTGTGCAGATCCAACTGCATGCTGCAAAATCCCTTCACTATCTAAGGAAACGGCATGCTCCAGTATCCATTATTTAGAGACACAAAGAGAGCAGGCCAGCAAAGATGCTTTCAGTGTTCTCATGTGCTGAACATTTGATCAATTTACCATACAAATGTTTCACATTTGCAAAAAGCAGGGAAAATGATTTTCTCGCAGGGCAGCCATTTATTCAACAGAATGCATATGTTCTATTTGTTAGGTATATATCGC